CAGATTGCGTCACATCTTTATGGAAAACGTTGGACCACAAGGCGGCGGGCGATATGCATTCCTTCATAGCCTCATTTTGGTGAATGTTCCCATTTTTTTTATATGAATTTTATTTAACCACCTCGTTTTCACCTGAACTTTTAATCCTCACTGAGAACTCTTGGGAGAATCAAAGCGAGGTCCTTCACCTTGACGAGACTTCCCGCTCAGATATTAGTTTCAGTTTGGAGCAGCTTCCCGTCAGAAGTCCTCGTCTCCTCCGGTGTGTCTGCTGAAAGTCAACAGAGACGTGGTGTGACCCCGAGCTGATAATACGTAACGTTAAGAGCAGAAATCAGAGCGTCCTCGCCGTTACGCTCTGAACTACACTCAGGAGAAATCATTTTCAAGCACTCCTCCTTCAGAGCAGTTGGAGCCTCTCAGCCTGCGTTTGATGGATATTAGACAAATTGCGTCATGTGCTTTTAAAGATGAGTCTCTTTAAGTGGAGGAGGGTGTGGAGCTTCAAAGCAGCTCCTCTTCTCCAAGGTCATTTCACGTTTTAACTCCGGGTCCGGTTCTTTACGAGAGCCCGAGTAATTAAAGTAATGGAGCCAAACTTTCTGATGGATTACATCACAGCAGCCAAAGAGCTGCACGTTAACGTCTTCATTTACCTGAGGCAGCTGGAGGAAACAATGAAACGACCTCACGTTGAGATGATCTGTGGATTCTGACTGGATGAAAACAACGACACTGAAAATGTTTTATAAATGTCACAGACTTTTCTTGCATCCTCATGGAAAATGAAAACACACCCTGCTACAGCAAAAGTCTTCAGCTGTGTTTAAAAGTAGTTCAGATGTTTATCACAATTCTCTGAAAACCTAAACATGGTTCACTCAGATCTCATTTTATTACCGTACTTCTTTCTGGACTATAAGTCTCTACTTTTTACTCACGTTTTGAACCACGCGGCTTAAAAAATGCTACGGTTACTTTATGACTGTTTTTAGATGGGTAGCCTCGTCACACCCGGGCACTCACAGAGCTGACCAGTGCACTGGCCGTGGAGGAGGGGTCCTCGTGTCTCAATGAGAATACCTGTGTAAATAAAAGGTTAAAAAAATCTGACCAATGAAATTTTCAAACAACAGATCAAAGTGTGTGGGGGTGGGGAGGAACGAAGTCCCCGTTGTGCCCCCTAGGGAGGGGGGAAGTTAAGTAAACAAATTGTTATAAACAACTGTTTATTGTCTAAACAAAGAAAAAAAAAGTTCTGTGTAAATATCTCATGTTACAACGTGGATTCCCGTGGCTTATAGACAAGCACGGCCTATAAATGTAAAAATTATTATATATATTTTTTAATTTAGTGGGCGTGGCTTATAGTCGGGTGCACTCAATAGTCTGGAAATTATGGTAACTACTGAATGATATGTTTAACGGTATTATTCTGTGACGGACATTTGATCCACGTTGCAGAAAACTGGACCAACAACTGTTCAACGAGCCATCTAAAACAGATAAGATACTCATTGTTCATAACATTTCTTCAGGACATTACGTGAAAGGTGTGAACTATCCCTTTAATCCTGGTTTTTACAGAACAATAGCGTTTATTTCTGACAGGTTTCAGTGCTTTAACCGACCAGGAGACTTTATTTAAATCTAACCTTTTAACAGAGTTACATGTAAAGGTTTATCATTTAGACTCAGTTTCTAGACTTTCAGCCTCTGACCCCCCCCCCCCCCCCCACACACACACACACACACACACAACAAATACCCATAATCCACCCCACCATCAAGGAGAGAAACGTACTAAACATACACTAATTCAAACAGCCTCTTATTTCTTATTAATCACTTTAATTTGTAGTTCTTGTAAGGGTGATAAAAATGACCGTTAACAATCTTCTTTAATTTAATTGGATTTGTGCAGGTCTTCCTGCGTCCCCCCACCTGGGTCTTTATGAGCCTCAGGGGGGTCCTTACTCTCAGTCCGCACCAACGGGATCAAAAAAGACATAAAAATATGAACTTTCACTTTAATGATATTTAAAGAGTTTTTTTAATGAACCACAGCTCGGCTGTAAAACTTGACCGACTCGTCAGCTGATGAGGGGTTCCAAAAAAAAAAAAGGTTCTGATGTTTCAGAACCAGGTTTAACCAGAACCAATCCACGAGCACCTACGAGCTGAAATAGACATCTCCCACACGCTTGTTTGCCCAGAACCGTCCTCTTCCTCTGCAGATAAACTTAAATTATTCATTCCTCCGCGCGCCCGTTGATAACAGAGAATAAAGTGTTGAAAGCCTCACGGTTGTCCACCTCCACGTCACAACGCCTTCACTCCCGCTCAGTCATGTATTTCAGCATTAAGGTTTAAACGCGGCATCTGGTGATCAGCACAGCTGAAGCTGAGCAGCAGCTGCCTTTTTGTTTTAAAGACGTCTAAATGTGCATTTCTTTACTTGAAACTTCTGCCAGCTTTATTTACAGAAATCCCTGAGAAAAGTTCACACAGCGTAAATCATTTGCTTCATTTTGTGTTCGAGTCCCGTCATGAGGAACATTTATAAACCCAGAAGTTCATCAAAAGTTTCTGAACATTTGGAACAAATTGTTAACAGAGTTAAGAGACCGCTCGAGCAGCAACGTTCTAAAATAACATTTTTAACTACTGAGACGTTTACGGCCTTAAAGGTGAGGAAGGCCCCGGTTCTGCATCAGATTGTTCTTTAAAAATACGTTCTCAAACTGAGGAGAACCCTCGCAGGATCTAATAAATTAAAACAAAACAGAAATATAGAACTCATCTTCTTTATTTATTCAGTTTGATGTTTTTAGGTTCTTTGAAACAAGAAAAAATGTTAAATATCCTAAATCACTGACATTTCCCTCCATTTTCACTTTACAGTCGTTTGAAGGAAGGCGCCCCCGTCCCCCACTGGCCCATGGGCCATCACTTGATGATCAGTGTCATGCATGAATCCTGGTCGTGTCTCTTTGTCTCCCTGGGATCTCTATGTCCATGTGTCCATCTGAGACTTCTCCCTCCTGTTTTTAGTTTCAGTGTCGACAGATGAACATCATCAAACCATTAGACATGTCCCTGTCCCCAACTCTCTGTCCCCTTCCTTCTGTCCCCAACTCTCTGTCCCCCTGTGCCTGTCTCCATGTTCCTGTTCCCTTTTCTGTACCTCTGTTCTTCTGTGTATGTCCCTGTGTCCCATCCCTCCGTCTATGTCCTTCTGTCTCCATTCTTCTGTCCCACTGTATCTATCCCCCTACCTCTGTTCTTATCTCTGTCCCTGTCCCTCTGTCCCCGTCCTCCTGTTCACTCTTCCTTTATTGTATTTAGTTTAAAATCTGAAGGAACCTGAAAACCTACGAACTCCGCTCCTTGTTTACCTTCAGAGTTTTTCCGTCTTTAGTGTGAATTAGCGTGGGCAAATGTCCTCCTGTGTTTCAGGTTTCGTCTCTTTGTCCGGAGACAAATTGACTCTGATGTCCACACAGATGTCCCCCCACCCTCCCTGCAGCTCCAGCTCAGTGCACAGAGAGGCTCAGTTAGAGGTTTGCAGAAAGTCAAAGAGAAAAAAAAAAGAACAAAAACCTCAAATGTGAAACTCCAATTAATTTAAAGACCCACCCCCCCACCCATCAGCAGCACCAATCAGCCCAGAATAAATCCGCGGCAGATCTAATTACTGTGCCGTCTCTGAAGACCCGGGCCGCCGCAAAGCCAATCTTCAAGTCGTTGTTTGAACAGGCTGATGAAGTCGGGGACTTGATGGATATCAAGTCATTTTGTTTAATTTATAAATGGATTTCCCCCTAATGCTTAAATTATCATCAGACGGAGGGAGGGGGCACAGTGGAAAGGATTTGGAAGGCAAAAGGTCTCAAACATGTGGCGGAGCAGAAGGATGACAGAAGACACTGTCCTCCAGCGTGTCCTAGCTGCAGCAAGCACGGCACTTTAAACAACCAGAGGATGTCCTGCAGGAGGGACAGGACATGTTTGTCAGGGCCGAGAGGTGGGGGACGCCTGAACGAGTCACCGGTCCGTCCCAATAGAACCAACCCAACAGGCCTGGTTCTGAAGGGACACCATACACACAAGGGGAGAACCAGCAGGAGACAGAAACCAGCCGGCTTGGTCCAAACGCGTTCTGAACGTCCACTGAGCAGATAATTAAACTCAGGTTAACAGAAAACGTGAGAATCGGACTGGGTCGGTTCTACACAAGTACATGAGCCGGACCCAGAGGTCCGGACTGGGTCGGTTCTACACAAGTACATGAACCGGACCCAGAGGTCCGGACAGGGTCGGTTCTACACAAGTACATGAAC